CTTAGTCAGACGACAGAGATGATGAGGGCGTGCAGGATCAACAAATCCAGGTGGCTGACGCATATAAACCTCCTCCTCCAGAATTCCATGGAGGAAAGCGTTCTGCACATCAAGCTGACGAAGAGACCATCCACGAGTGACAGCAAGAGACAACAGCAAGCGAATGGTAGTAGGCTTGATGACTGAACTGAACGTGTCTTCATAATCAAGACCATACCTCTGTTTGAAGCCCTTGGCAACAAGCCGTGCCTTGTAGCGTTCGATGGAACCATCAGCATGTCTCTTGACTTTGAAAACCCACTTGGAATCAATAACATTGACACTAGATACTGGAGGAACAAGCTGCCAAGTGTCATTTTTCTGGAGAGCCTGAATCTCCTGTTTCATAGCAGCGTGCCAGTGAGGAATACTCAGTGCAGCCTGGAAGTGTCGAGGCTCAGCAGTGGGATCAGCAGCAATGTGAGCCATGCACACGACTAGCCATGCCACAGTCCCGTCCTTGCGTTCCTTCGGACAGAAAATGCCCGACTGACTCCGTGTACGAGGATGAAGAGGGACCACAGGCCGTGCCGGCGAGACCATCGCAACCGGTGATGGAGACGAAGCTGCAGCATCGGGAGAGCTGGCACTAGGGCTCCCTGACGACGACGAGCCAGGCGAGGCCAGCCCACTAGCAGCCGAGGCGGGACTGACCGGGTCCAGCTCCAGGCCGGTCGAAGCAACCGCCGACCGAGGCGAAGATGCCTCCAGGTCGGGCGTGACTCCTCCTGGGTCAGGCGGAGCGCCAGCCGAAAGATTGGGCGAGGCCAGCGGCACGCCAGGCGAGGCCAGCCGAGGGCCAGGCGGGGCACCAGCCGAAGGACTGGGCGAGGCCAGTGGCAGGCCAGGCGAGGCCACTCGTGGGCCAGGCGAGACCGGCGCCCGCACGGCAGCCTCCAGTGGCGATGCAGGGGCGGGTACGCGGGTCGAACCCATTATGCATGGGACATGCACGACCCGAGCAGGAGCTGCCGCGTCGGTTTCCCCCGGCAAGGTCTTCGCCCGGCAAGCTTTCCTCCCCGGCAAGGTCTTTGCTCGGCAAGTTTCCTGTTCATCAAGAAGCTCAAGACGAGCGCCACGTCCAATACCTGCAGCATGATTAGGCAACAACGCAGGGGCATATGCAACATCCACAAATTGATCAGGCAAAGGTGTGGACATGTGCACCGGTTGTGAGGAAATGGTAGAGTTTGTCGGAAGTGCACGAAAAGAAAACACATTTTCATCAAACACCACATCACGAGAAATGTAAACGCGATTTGTAGGAACATGGAGGCATTTGTACCCTTTGTGAAGAGAACTGTACCCCAGGAAGACACACTTCTTAGACCGAAACTCTAACTTACGCTTGTTATATGGGCGAAGGTGAGGCCAACATGCACACCCGAACACCTTAAAAAAGGTGTAGTCTGGAGTCTCGTTGAGCAAGAGTTCAAGCGGAGTTTGCATTTTCAGGAGTCGTGAGGGAAGCCTATTTATGAGAAAACAAGTTGTGGAGAAATCATCACTCCAAAACCGAAACGGAATGGATGCATGAGCGAGCAAGGTTAGGCTAGTTTCAACAAGATGACGATGCTTACGTTCGGCAGTTCCATTTTGCTGATGAGTATGAGGACAAGACACACGATGCGAAATCCCAAGTTTGTTAAAAAAGAGTTGAGGTTGTGGTATTCACCCCCCCCCCCAGTCAGATTGAACATGGATGATTTTCTGCTTAAGGAGACGCTCAACATGTGCTTGAAACTGGATAAAAACATCGAACACATCAGACTTGCGCTTAATAAGATACAACCAAGTAAACCGACTATAAGCATCAATAAAACTGACATAATAATTGTGACCACTAACAGATGTCTGGGCATGACCCCATACATCAAAAAACACAAGCTCAAGAGGATGTTTCACAACACGACTAGACTCTAAAAACGGAAGTTGGTGACTCTTGCCCTGCTGACAGGCATCACAGACGGTGTTAGCAGATTTATTGGACACAACTGGTAGTTCATGACGATGCAACACATGACGAACTATAGGGGCCGCAGGATGACCAAGGCGCGCATGCCAGTGCGTAGGAGACACACGAACACCACTGAACGCCTGAGGAGAAGACTGCATGGATGGTGTGCTTGGTACATCAAGTGCGTACAAGCCATGGTGAAGACGACCGCTAAGCAGAACGGCCCTTGTGTCTCGATCCTTGATAAAGAAACAAAAAAGATGAAACTCAGCAAGGACATTATTATCATGTGTAAGTTGAGGAATAGACAACAAACTACGCGTAGCAAAGGGAACACGAAGGACATTGGAAAGATGTAGTTTGCGAAAATTGTGTGCAAGGAGAGAAGCCTGACCAACATGAGAGATGCACATACCTGCTCCGCTGGCGGTGTGCACCTGATCATGACCACGATATGGCTCCTGAGTAGAGAGCTTGCCCATCTCGCCGGTGAGGTGGTTAGTAGCGCCGGTGTCCATATACCATGATGGATCAATGGAGTAGGACGGAGTGCGACCATGATCATGAGTAGTCACGGCAGCGGCAGCCTGCTTGTCGTTTCCTATGCCATTGTTGCCAAGGCCCAGAAAATCTTGCTTGTAGCGATGATGACAGCGAGATGCAATGTGGCGCTCCAGACCACACAGCTGGCAAGCCTGCGGGGCACCGCAGGAGGAGCAGCAAGCAACCGACCGGTTGCCACCCGTGATGGATGGCGCATTGCCACGCGGGGGCGGATGCGAAGATGGTGCCGGCTTGCCCCCTGAAGATGAAAGCCGCTGAGGTTTTCCGCGAGTGGCGGCATCGGCGGAGGCGAAACCCAGTGAGACATGGCGGGCCTTGATGCGCTGTTCACGGCCAAGGAGGCGGGCATACAACTCACGAGGTGGAAGTGGATCGTCACGGCCATGAACGTTCTCAACGAGATTGTCATAATCGTCGTCGAGCCCGTTAAGAACGAAAGTGGTGAACTCCTCATCCTGCAGAGACTGGCCAATCGAGGCCAATGTGTCGACGAGACCCCGCATCTTGTTGAAGTAGTCCGTGATGCTGAGGTCACCAAGCTTGGTCTCACCAAGCTCGGTGCATATAGAGTGAGCACGCGCCTAAGACTGCGAGGAGAAGCTGGTGTGAAGCGCCGCCCACGCCTCCCGGGATGTAGTAGCGAAGATGACCAGCGACGAGACGCTCGGAGTGAGCGAGGACTGGATGGCAGAGAGAATGGCATGATCCTGGGCCACCCATGTATGATACGCCGGGTGATGAGTGGGCGGACACGGGATGGATCCGTCAACATAGCCCTCTAGATAGCGACTGTGCAGAAGAGGCAACACCTGGCACGCCAGGACAGGTAGTTGTCCGGCGTGAGCTTCACCGGCAACAGATGCGAGAAGTAAAACGATGACGGCGCCGTGACCTGAGCGGCGTGAGCATGCATCGATGGCGCGTAGGGACCCGTCCAACGGGCTGTCTCGAGATGAGGAGCACCCGCCGAGTAGACGCCAGGAGCACCGAGAACGAGGGTGTCGGCTCCGTAGTTCACCGCGGCCCCGTAGGATGGCTGCAGCGGTGCAGCCACGAACCCGGACGGCGCGGAGTAGGGTTGGTGCGGCGACGGCGCGTAGGGCTGCGGCGGCTGCGCCAGGAAGTGCTGCTGCGGTGGCGGCGCGGAGTAGATCGGCGCCGACGGTGGCTGGTGGTGATGCGACGGGAGAGCCGTATAGGGTTGGTGATGATGCGGCGCCACGTAGGACGCCACGGGCCAGGAGGACGGCGGCGGCTGAAGGGAGCCCTGGGCCGCCGGCGGCGCACCATACACGGCAGGAGCGACGCCACCGTGCGTCTGCGCGACGGCGCCGTCGGGCGGCTGCACAGCAACACCATGAGATGGCGGCGCAGTGAACTTAGCAGAGGAGTCGGTCGATGGATTTGATCTGATCGGGGACTCGGTCGGCGGCAGGGCCCCGTAGGCCGACGCAAGGGGCCGAGAAGCGAGGAACGGTGACATAGGGGCGAGCGCCGGCCCGGCGGCGGTGGCAGCGACGAAGGTCGGCGCACCGGCGGCGGCGGCGGCAGCGGGAGCAGCGGAAGACATCGAAACCCTAGTCTGAAACCATGTAAAACACAATATGTTGGGAACTTGCTCGACACCTTAAACGGGGTGTGGCTCTTTCATTGTATAGAGGTATCAAGAGATACAATACAATGTTACAATATTAATACACGGACTATGTTATACAGTCTAACACGGGATACGTTCGCAGCGTGCTCCTCCAACACGGTTCCATGACACCGACGAAAGGAGCAACGCCAGCCACAAAACACACGCGCCACGCGCCCCGGCTGCGCTACGCGAGCCACCGCTCCGTCCCCGTCGCGTGGCAAACGAGCCAAGAGACGCCGAGTGCACCGCGTCCTCCCACGCACGACGGACGCCTCCCCTCAGGATGCTGCTGCGCCTTCCGTACGCCCGCCCCGCGCCGTCCACAGCACGATGGAGGCTGGAGCGGGCGCGTGCCCGGCCGGCACAGCTGCTCCGCCGAGGGCACGCCGCCGCTTCCTTGGCCGACGGCGCCGGAGCGCCGGTACGTAGTAGTCTCTCGTTCGATTGGAAGCCTTTTGGGTTATCGCACTTCATACTTCTGACTGTTCGAGCCGTGCCCGTTTGTTGTTATTCGTGCCATTGCTGCAGCTCCACTACGACCCGTTGGCCGACCTTCTCGGCCCAGATGTCGGCCCCAGCCCCTCGCAGTACGGTTTCCCCCTTCGCTCGCATTCTCGTCATGTGCCCAATTCTTCTTCATGAGCGTTAGGTGGTCATCGTTGATGTAAGATGGCACAGTTATGAGGGAGATGATGGAAGATGGGTGTTCAGTCTCAGGGAAAGAAGACCAGCATTCCCAAATAGCCACAGACTAGCTTGTAGATCTTTAGGGTTAACTGAACATAACACTTTCAAATCTAAATGCTTGATTCCCCTAAAAACCAAGTGCTTAATTTCTTTGGGATGCCGTGGTACATGTTTTGCAACCAAGAGATGCACAATATTTATCATTTCAAACGATATGCCATCTTGCTAGGCCATTTTGACCTTAGTGTAGGACACTTGGGCATTCCCCGTGGATGCGATCAAAGCCTTTGGGGATTGGAGATTTCATTTTTTGTGAGAGAGATTTTGTTTTTGTGCTGTGGCTACTTGTTGAAAATAGTATTTTTCGGTTGCAGGAATACTGCCCCGGTTACAGAGAGGGGGAAGCTGAGGTCCTGGGTTGGTCCAAATGGGCAATACTATCGAGAGCTGCCTTGCCCTAACTGTAGGGGTAGAGGATACACTCCTTGCGGAAAGTGCGGGATAGACAGATCCAGCTTGGATTGCCCTATGTGCAATGGCAAGGTGACCCTTCCCCGACCTCTTGTAAATCATCCTGGAAGTAAATACGTGCACTCTTGAGGAATTTATCAGTATATTTTTGTGCATGCCTAGGGGATTAGGATGTGTATGCAATGTGGTGGAGAATGTGTGATATGGCAAGAATCTATTGATGAACAACCATGGGAGGAAGTTCGATCTAGGTGATGTTTCTTCTGCATCTCTTCCATGTAGTCAACAGTTAGCTGTTCTTTTTGTCACACTGCTTGTCGAAAGATCTCCTGTTGACACGGGGCTGTTTGGTTTCTGCCTGCACTGACCCTGCCAAAGCATTGGCGAAGCCTTCACCTGCCACCAGCTCGTCAATTGTTGGCATAAAAATCAACGTGAAGCTGAACTAGGGGGCTGGGCAGGTTGGGGCTCGCCAAATAATTGGCTTCCATCCAAGCACTTGCCCATGGGAGTTGTCAACGCCAATAAATTGGCTGGGCAAGTTGGGGTACCAATCCAAACGGCCCCCAAATCTCTTGGTTTCATTAAAACATCCGTTACGACTTAAATTGACTATTGCCCATCACCATCATCAATTGTAAGTACAGATACAAAATTCCCATTGTTTTAAAAGAAGTAATGATAGATGATATGACTTCTTTACATAGTGATGAAGAAAGGTATCATTTTGGATTCCTAGCCGTAGAAAATTGTATGTCAAATTCCGGATGCAACATACTTAGGTTGTTGCAAAAGTTGTGAAAAGGTAATGGATCATTAGATTGAGAATGCTGTTCTTTCCCCTCTGCAGTTCACCCTTGAAAGTAAAGGAAGATGATGAGGTCGACAGACTAGAGATAAAGATCGACACCTCAAAAAGACCGAGGCGTACTTATCCATCACCATCCCCAGAAGTTGCCATGAAGATTAGCCGATCTCTAAGAGTAAGTGACGCTTTCTTGCAAGCCGAAAATACATGTTATAGGCTTCTTGATACAGTTAGTGTTAGTGCAGTATATGGTAGTATAATTTTCCTACTAATAAATGTTGTTCATATGCAATTTGTCACGCATATGTGTTAGATCTATCACACTAGATCCCTGCATTCCTAAGAGTTAACTATGAAGCTGTGTATATCTACTTCAGTTTTGAAAACTACCAGCTGCTTTTTTTTAATTGCTATAGATCTATATAGTTGCTTTTGGCTTTTAAAAGCTTAATAATAATTGCAGAGTCTGAATGCTAAAACAGGATTGTTTACTAAGCACATGAAGATTATACACCAAGACGCCAAATTGCATGCTCAAAGAGTTGCTGCGATTAAGGTAATAAGATGTCCTGATAAATGTTGCAATTGTGTCTTTTTTGTAAAGTACAAGCAATTGAGCTGGTGCTATAGTCATCTATTTTCTTCCTCTGCCTTAACTCAAGAGAACAAAAGGTACTGCTGCAGCAAGAAATCAGGCTTCTGAAAAACAAAAGGCATTCTTCAGGGATCCTGAGAATCGGCTCAAGAGAAGCATTGCCATGAAAGGTAACTGGACTTCCTTTCCTTCTACCCACAGAAATAGTTTTGACAGTTTCCTCAGTTTGTGTCCATTTACAAGTTTGGCTGTTTCTGTAGCCAGCTGTCTGTTATCCGCATGTTCTTAGTTAGTACTCCCTCCTATATCCAAAATAAGTGTCGTGGTTTTAGTTCAAATTGAACTAAAAACACGACACCTATTTTGGATCGGAGGGGGTACATTTGTTTATCCTCCTCATTTTGAGTTTAAGTGGCAGTATTGGAATTGGTTGTCGTCTTACTCCATCGCCTTCTTTTCCCTGGATTCACCAAAAGTGGAACCCGCTACTAACTTGAACAACATTTGCCACCTTATGCTCCACAGGAGTGAAATTTTACTGCAGTAAATGCGGGCAAGAAGGACACCGAAGCTTCTATTGCCCAACAGTGAGGGAAATTTCAGCCAGAGTGCAATTCAGATGCCGGTTATGTGGGGAAAAGGGGCATAATAGCCGAACGTGTGGAAACCCAAAGTCAGAGAATGAACATCAGCGGCAACCTCGGCATTGTAGCCTATGCGGTGAAAAGGGTCACAACCGAAGAAACTGCCCTGGGTCTCCAGAGGCGGAGGTTGGCGCTTCTGGCCATATTACTAAGAAAGTTAACCGTCATAATTCAGGTGTTTATTCATGTAGCTTCTGCAAAGAAAGGGGGCATAATAGACGGACATGTCTGAAGAGAAATGCTAGCTTAGGATAATGAAAAATATATATCAAGCTGCATTTCGATCATATGGAACATCTGCTGAGTATCACTGCTTAACAGGTCCAGTGAATGCAGTTACCTAAAGCTATTTTTTTTGTGCCTCCAACTCGATAAGAGCAAAGAATTAATCACATGCCCGGTGCATGGTCTACCTATATATACAAACTAAAAGTTAAGCAACGGAAAGGGAGATTGTAATTTGAAAAATAGACTTTAACTTCAGATGTTATTCTGTGTTTGAGGCATTAGTTAGCCATCATTTTTCTGTCATGCTTGCAAGACCATTCCAAGTCGTCCTCTCACTGTTGTCGCTATGGGGAATATTCTCTTGAAATTCAGTTCTATCACTGAAACTTCCAGGAGGTGATAACACGCACAACATGTCTGGAAAACCTCAGTGAATAAATCTCTGATATTCATTAGCTTCTGGCTCAGAAACTGGCTCTCTAATATCCCCTCTTGTTTTGCTGGTGGCATCTGAGTTCTCATGAACTAATTGCCTGAATATTGATGACTTGAATAGCAGATTAAGGTCCTGTTTGGAATCTCTCCACTTCGCGGAGCTGGGTTTTAGCCACTCTGTGAAAATAAGTTGTAGCCTGGTCCGCTCCGGGAGCGGAGCCAAACAGGCTCTTAGTGAAGTAGATGATGCTCTTGTCGTTGCAAATTTGGTGAGATGGTGGCCTCTTCGGTTGTGTTGTGTTACACGACACTTATTTTAGAATGGAGGGAGTAGGATAAAAGGGCTATTTTGAGAGAATATGTGTGCTTATCCTGGGAAAAGTTTTGGTGGGAGATGCATCGTAAGAGTTTCTTCTTTTTTTTTTTGAACCGGGCTTTACCCCTTTCCATTGCAAAGAACGAAAATACAACCAATTCAAGCGAGAAGGACAGGAGAAGGGAAAGAGGTATAGCAAGTTCTAGCACTACCAGAAAACCCACCATACTCGCTCGCCATCGAAACGAGTATCATGGGACGAAAACCTGGATATCACGACATTACATCTATCCTATTATATTCTCAAAAGATCAGATCAAGTATCAAAACACAGTTGCATTCCAAGTAGACGAAAAACAATCTTCTTTTTTTGAAACACAAATGTATTCCATTACCCAGGCAAGCTGAACTCACCAGCGACAAGTTTTTTTACATGGCTCGGAAACGGATCAAGCCAAATCTGATAGCTCTTCCGCTCCATACATACACCATGAGCAGCTAAACAGTGTGCAGAAATATTACATGCCCGTGAGCAGGTTTCTACTTTACAAGATTGAAAAGCTGATTGCAACGCTGCTCTTATCTCTTTAAACAGCACGCCTAGGCTTGAGTAGTCGTACAGGTCGCTTGTGATTGCCTGCTTTAGAGCAACTACATCCGTGTCTAAGATGACTTTTTGGCACCCCATTCTTGACGCTTCATTCACAGCATAGAGCATGTCCAGAGCTTCAGCTTGTAGTGGTTCAGCAACATTTTCCAAACTCCCTACTCCTGCAACTAGTGCAATTCCATGATTATTTTTTATGGTAAAACCCCACCCTCCTGATTTAGTTGATAGCCTAAAGGCTCCATCAGTATTAATTTTAAGGAAATCATCAGGCGGAGGACACCAAACCTGGTTTACAGCCTGCACATTTTGCTCCTGTCGCTTGATGTATTTTTTGTATTCCAACAAGTGTAGCTGAACTGAATATATAATTTCCTCTTCAGTCCTAATCCTTTCTCCTTGATTAGCTCTGTTTCTTTCAGACCACCATAACCACAAAAGGATGCATACTTTCAGACATTTGTCCTTTTCCATGTGCAAGATATCCTCCACCATCGAGATGGCATTTGGGCAATTGAGAAGTTGCATCCGACTTTCTTCCAACAATGCAGTTCTCCAAACGGCCTTGACAAATTTGCACTTTAGGAAACAATGACCTCCATCTTCATCCATTCGATGGCATACTGGACATCTTGTATCCACTTCCATTCCTCTATTCTGTAGTTTCATTCTTAGAGGTAAGCTATAATGGGCCAGTCGCCATAGGAAGTGCAGGATCTTGTTGGGAAAGGGCAACGTCCATAGTTTCTTCCAAAATGTTATCCTAGGCTGATCATTCTTACTTGATGACGAAGCTCCACCATGTGCAGAGTTCCTGGCTTGGTTTTCCAACACTACTTGATATGCAGATTTTACTGAAAATATACCCTTTTTGTCAAAATGCCAGGCAGGAGTGTCCTTAGCACCCTCTCGGATCGAAATTTGGACAATTACCTCTACATCTTCTTTGTTGAAAGTTTGATCAATCAGTTGTAAATCCCATGTGCCAGAGGTAGGGTCAATCAAATCTGAAACCTTTGTGATAACATGGCTGCCTTGCTGAGATGTTACTCTCCTAGAAACACCCCTTGGTAGCCAAGGATCTGCCCATATATTGATATTGCGTCCATCTCCTACTCTCCATATGATTCCACTTTGCAACACCTGCACTCCTTTCAAAATGCTTCTCCAACTATATGAAATGCCATCTCTTGGCCTCGCTTGTAAAGATTCTGATTTGGATAGTATTTAGCAGCCATCACTCGAGCGCATAGGGAAGATGGGTTTTGTAGAATTCTCCAAGCCTGCCTTGCCAACATAGCTAAGTTGAAAGAATATAGGTCTCTAAATCCCAACCCTCCATCCTTTTTGGGTTTTGTGAGCTTGTCCCATCCAACCCAGTGGATTTTATTTTCTTTATCCAATTGACTCCACCAAAACCTCGCAATCATTGAGCTGACATCTTCACACAGAGATTTGGTGAGGTCAAAACATGCCATCGCATAAACAGGGATTGCTTGCGCTACAACTTTGATGAGGACTTCCTTACCGGCCTTTGAGAGCAATTTTTCTTTCCCACCTTGTAACCTTTTCCATACTTTTTCCTTGATATACTCAAAAGCTTTGGTTTTTGATCTACCAATATAGCATGGTAAACCCAAATATTTTCCGGAGAAGCCTTCTATAGCAATATTTAGCTGATTCATGAGCTCCTCTTTGTCCTCCAGCTTTGTATTCTTGCTGAACAAGATGGCTGACTTTTCCTTATTTATAGCCTGGCCCGAGCAAGCTTCATAGGAGTTCAGAATTTGATTAAGCTCGTGACTGCTGTCGGCATTTACTTCTAGGAGAAGAAGTGAATCATCTGCAAAAAGAAGATGACTTATGCTTGGGGTTGTATTACATAATTTGATTCCTTTCAACCTCCCATTCATCTCAGCATTTTGTAACATGGCCGAGAAGCCCTCAGCACATAAAAGAAAGAGATATGGAGAGAGAGGGTCACCTTGACGAAGCCCCCTCTCAGGAATAATTATCTTTGTGACGTCCCCATTAACTTTGATTTGGTATTTCACCGTTGTCACACAATTCATCACGAGCTGCACCCAACTTCTATTGAAACCGAGTTTCAACATGATTCCTTGCAAGAACTTCCATTCAACTCGATCATAAGCCTTGCTCATGTCAAGTTTGATAGCAGCATAACTTACTCTTCCACCCCTCTTCCTCTGCAAAAAGTGAGTCATTTCATATGCTAAAAGAATATTGTCAGATATCATGCGTCCAGGCACAAATGCGCTTTGATTGGGGGAAATTATTTCAGGTAAAATGTTTTTTAATTTTCTGGTGATTACCTTTGATATTAGTTTGTAGACCACATTACAGAGGCTGATGGGTCGCAAATCCTTCAATCTCTCTGGTCTAGTTGTTTTTGGAATCAGAACTATCATGGTGTTGTTCCACTCTTCAGGCATCTCACCACCTCTCAACACCTTGAGCACCTTCTTGGTTACTTGCTCTCCTACAGTGCTCCAGAATCACTAAAAAAGATTGCAGGCATGCCATCAGGTCCGGCAGCCTTTAGATCACCAATATTATTCAAGGCAGCTTTCACTTCTTCTTCAGTATATTCTGCACAAAGGAGCTCGTTCATTTGGTCAGTTACTCTAGGTTGAACTGATTGCAGAATTATATCATTGTCCTGCCCTGCCGTCGAAGTAAACAAACTAAAGAAATAATTTGAAATATATTCCTTTAGTTGTTCTGCCTTCTCTACCCAGGACCCATCTTCTTTCCTCAGCTTCTGAATGGTGTTACACTTTTTCCTCTCCGAAGCATAGGCATGGAAAAAAGTTGTATTTTTATCTCCAAATTGCAGCCATTTGACATGGGCTCTTTGCCTCCAAAAAAGGTTGTGTTGCTTCTCTAGTCGATCCAATTTCTCCTTTATAACATGCTCTCGATTGACCTTGTCTTGACTTATTTCACTTCTTCTTACAATTTCCAAATCATCTTTTAATTTCTTTATTCTCTTTTGAAGGTCTCCTAGTACGTTACAATCCCAAGCTTTTAACTCCATGGCTACAGTTTTGATGCCTTGAGACACATTACCACCACTTCTAATATTTGAAACATTCTAGGCATTTGTGACTATATCTTCACATTCTTCTTCATCCAACCATTTAGCCTCGAATCTGAATGTGTTTCCTTTTCCAATCCTTTTGTATTGTGTCATAGTTCCATCAATTGAAACAGTGATCGGCCTGTGGTCCGAGTGCCTCGGGTCGCCATTTATCACCCGATAAGATGGGAAGCGTACACACCACTCTCTGGATCCAGTAGCCCGATCCAATCTTTCCTTGACATAAAGTTTAGCATCATGGCTATTATTTCTCCATGTATACTTGTCACCAAAATAGCCGAGGTCATGTAGTCCACATTCTGCAAGTGCCATTCTGAAACTTTCCATTGATCTTTGGCTACGGGGTGTACCTCCTTTTTTCTCATGGCCATACAACACTTGATTAAAATCTCCGGCACACAGCCATGGAAGATTGAGTTGTTGGTTTAGAATCCTTAGTAATTTCCAAGTCTTATCCTTTTTATCCGAGGAAGGTTCACCATATATGCCCGTAAACCGCCATTTGTACCCATCTTGCTCAACAATCTTCATATCTATGTGATATCTTG